AACTTCATGCAAAGGATGTTCTAATATCCTGCAAGGTTTTGGTACAGATGCGTTACATCTGTACCATGTATAGATGCTGGCTGATAGTATTGGTTCTCATAATGTAACTGCCAAGGACCCAGCTGGGATTCCACAGAAGTCTGTTTTCAGCAGATTGCTAACCAGATTCAAAATATTATCACTTGTTTTGCTGCAAAGCATTAAAGACTATCATATGCTGCTTATGCAAATATAACCAGAATCATAATCTTGCTTTGAATTGTGCATTAAAAATTCACATCAGATCAAATGCAATATGCTAGAATTCAGTAGCTTTATTTAGCCATGATCCAGATACCTCTTAGCCACCTCCCCATATTAGGGGCCTGGCATCACATACCTTCTATTTCAGAGGGTGATACATAATATTTTTTCCTTTTTCCTCTTAGGATGAATGTCTGATACTAACTTCTTTCCAAATGATGAAGATTCACAGATCAAGACTTAAGTTTGCAGGAGGTCTTGAGCTGGTAATCTGGAGGATGTCAGGCAGAAATCCATCCTATGCTCTATATTGACACTGGCTAAGAAAAGATCTTCTGGGTCTGGGTCTGGGTCTGAGTCCAGGTGAGGTCAGGAAACTGCATAGACTAACAGTTCAGAGTGTGTCCCATGAAACACCTTGACCCACATGGACATCTTCTTGGTAGTGGTTACTCACTGTTTTGAGCAACTCAGAGATCTTCTCCCTCTGCCTCAGAGAACCTGAGTGTTACAGACATCATCAGAATGAACCCCACCATATACTCACTCTAGCATCTACTGACACGAACATGACATTCCAGGGTGCAGTGGGGTTCAAGAGTCCTGTAATTGATAGGTTGTTTCCAATCTCCCATCACCAAGCTATTGATCATCTTCGCTGGTGCTTCATGAAGACCGATACATGTTTTAGAAGCTTTGGGGAAAGCCATATTAGCACCAAGGTGGCATAATTACTGAAACCACATTATATTAGTAGCAGAGAAGGAACTGGTGTGTGTATGTATGTGTATAGTGGTGTGCATGGGGGGGGCAGCTTATGCAAAATGGTAGAAGCCATCAATCCACTCACCTACTCCATTTCCTTCCCTTCTGAGGCAACAGAATATAGCCTCCCAGTTTGATTACAATTCAGGTAAGATGAGGCAGTGCTCAAAGCCTGCAAACAATGCTTATTAGTTCAAGCTTCTAGTGCTGCTGAACTCAGAAAATTTACTAGAGAAAGGAAATATTTTCTGTTAGTGTCATTGATTTGTTGATTGTATGTGCGGACTATTCTTGAAATATTTGCTGCTTTCCACCTACAACTTTCTGCACTCTCTTCAGCCCTATAGACTGAAAGAAAGAAAAAAAGGTGGAGTTTCCCAGAGAGTCTATCAAATCAATGGTTCTAAACTCACCACTGTTTTTTCTACAATTTTTTGGGCATACTGGTTTCTCCTTCACAATAGCAGGGAATTCTAGTATTGAATCCAGCACTTTATTTCCTTGTTTGTTCAAAATAGATTTTTCTGTATTTTTGCACTAATTGCTAAAGAATGCCTTTCCTTCATTATGCCTTATAGCTATGTTATGACATCCATTGATGAGATTAGCATATAGATAAATGAAAAGAACTGTTATGTTTGCCCTAGATGACACAGGAAGCTTAGGCCCAAACCCTCAAATGTTCTTGGGAAATCTCCTTTTACCTGCTTGAGATTGGAAGTGAGGCACCATTTTACCTAACTCCCAGGCAGTCTCTGTGGATGTAGAACATTTTTTTTTTTTGCATTACCCTTTTCCTCCAATTAGTTGCAGTAGTGAAGTTCCCCATCAAGACATCTTAAGCTCTTTACCTTGACCCTGTTCCCTTATAATATATTTCTGCCACTTGCTTGTTTGCTTCTTCATAAAATGTATTCATTGGTTGCTCTTTTGCTAAAAGCTGTCAGAGCAATGTACAATGAAAAACAATCAAAATCTACTTAAATAAAGTAACCTGGAAAATGATCTAGCAGAGATTAAAACAAGCCCCACAAGAAAACTTAGAATTTCTGTGGAGATTTTGAATCATCTGATAATTTTTAAGCCTAGACATTAAGGATGCCTGGACATCATCATCATTAATGCCTGAGCATTATTACTAAATGACCCTTAGCACCAAGCAGCCCGTGCCGTGACAAGTCAAGCTGATGAGAGGAGGACAAAAAGAGTTTTGACAGGTGGATGATCGGAATCACATTAACATGATCACATTGTGTAATGAACATAACTATATGGTGGTCACTTGCTATTAGCACATAATTAAATGAAAGGAACTAAATTATGATGACAGCTTCAAGGAAGGAACCTACCACATGAGAACTGCCACTATGACATGGAGAATGGATATAGCATTAAACTTTTCAAGGAACTTCATTTGTTGCTTCCTTATGTGTGAATAAACGACATAGTTATGAAAAAGTTGTAGAAAACGGCCTATTACAACTTCCTTGTTAGTTTGTTTGCTATCATTCCTTGAATTTCAGGATGATGAAAAGTGTGATACTGAGCCATGATCATTCAGGCAAATGGTTTGCACGTGGGCTGCATTTGCAAGTCTGGCAAGCAGATTTCTTTTTTTTTAAACTGCAACCTGAATCTTGATAGGTCAGCAAGACAAAACCAGTGTATCCCATAGTACCATTTTATTGTGTTCCCTTTTAGAGTTCTATACTGTGGTATAAGGAGAGCTCTGAATGTTCTTCTGTATAAAAAGCCATCCCCATGAATAATGCAGCACACAATCATCGCTCACAGTGGTTTTTAATGCCCTCCAAGAGTAGCTTTTAGTGCCATTGGATATTTGACTAAATTACCCAAGCTGCCTTCTGCCTGAGCTTTGCTCTCCAGAGGTGGGAAAACTCATTTATGTGTGCTTTGGTATTCATTATTTTTTCTGAGTTTTCCTCTCAAATGCTTGAAAGTGGGAAACCTTTCTTGTTTTTCTGAGAAAGCTCATAGACAGGGACTAACAGGTGGAAGTCTCCTCCTTCACTTCTTGCCTGTTCCATCATCCTTTCCCAAGTCCTCTCCCCCAATACCCTACCCTAGGAAGGGAAAGGCTCACTGGAAGAGAAAAGGTTCTCCCAGCCTCTCCATAATTAGACATGCAATCTTGAGCTTATCTTCCTCCATTCCCCAATAACTATTTATAAATGATAATGTTATTCTGTTGATTAATAGCGTGCTGTCTACTGGGTTCCATTGGTGTTGTTTTCAATTATTGGTTCTATGTTGGCCAATTCTGGTTTATTAATGATACCTTTCTTATATTTTTTAATGATAATTTAAGAAGTCTTGCCCTACAAAATCCATTATTTATACTGTATTTCCTCTGTGTGTATCTGTATTTTTTTCCACCTGCTGACCTGGTGCTGGCAAAATGCAAGGATTTTCCAAAGGGATAAGTACATAAGAATTATGTAACTACTGACATTGACCATCAGTTATAGTTGAATTGGGTTGGATCCTGAGAATGAGAAATCAATGGAACTTAAGTTGGTGATATATGATGGAGTGCAATCCTATGCATGTTTAGACATAAAAATTCCAAAACCTCCAAGCATCCCCCAACCAACCATGGTGTATGTTTTTATTTTATTTATGTTTTTAATTTCCCTACTGCCCAACAGTTGAAGCTCTCCATAGGACTGGACCCTAGGCTGGTCTGGATGCAGTCAAGTAGAAATGTAGCATTCTGCTCATTCTCAGATAGCCTGGGCGAGTCTGTAGAGGTATCCATCTTCTTCCAGGCATAAGGATGGGATGACAAAAGAGTGGACGGAGCTAACTGCTAATCATAAGCTGATGTGCCAACTTGGGGAGGTGAGAAGAATCCATGATCCTTTTATGAGGTATGCCTCCTCGCAACATTCCTCTCCCCTCATGATATCTCCTATAGAAAATGAAAACACACCAAGGCAGCAAAAGAGTGCAAGAGCAAGGAAGCACTCTACTCCTCCATCTTTAAAAGTCATGTAGAAGACTGAAGCTTGCATAACAATGGACAGTTTCTAAAATCTCCTATTCCATATATTTAATAAATGTGCAGGAGCTTTGTCCACTGGCCACCCCACCAAGAAATGCTTAATTCCAATAAAATTATGCCTTAAGATCCTTTAAAATGGATACCAGCGAAACAACTGGAACTTTCTGTGTGAGAAAGAATATGAGTTTTTGGGAAGAAACAGATTTCATGTAATTTGAAGCATTCATTTTCTCTCTCTTTGTATTAGTGGGCATAATTTGGTTTAGCAGTGTATTTATTGTTGTTGGGTAAAGATTGTATCATATGAACTACATTTGGAGTTCAAAACAAAAACTTGAGAACACAGTAGTTCCAAGAAAAATGCATATTTCAGCTGCTGCATAAATGCTGAAACATTCTACTTTCTTTCTCTCCAGACAGAGCAGTATGCAACTCTGAAAACTTGCATGAAACTTCAGAAGCCTAAAGAGCTGTCACAACTTCGATGTGGTCATGGTGGGAAGCATTTAGCACATGTCACTAACCATGCAAGAGGGTCAAAGTAAGCCCCTCCTCCATTTCACCTTGTCATTGTATGTTGTTGTTTACCTGATGGTAAGATCAGCTCCTTCTGAGTACGTTTCCCTGACCTACATTTTATTATCAGGCTGCACTGGTTACGCTGCTGATTTGATGCAGCACATCAGACATAAGTGAGGAAGGCAGAAAGAACCATCTCTTCTCAGCCAGATGGTGGAGCATCACTGAAAGAAATTCTTCGCTCATTTTAACTTACTGAGGTTACTGTCTACCTAATTTGAAAACATTACCAGAAAGAAAGAAACAGAAAGGACGAACACAGCAAAGGCTTCTCCTCCTCCTCTTCTACTTTCCGTGTCCTCTGTGTGTATCTGTCAGATTTTTTCTGCCCTGAACTTGCAATGCTTAGCCAGGCAGTTGCAGGAGATTTGGAGAGAGCCTTCCTGCGATGACTGTGCCTAGCTTCAGCCCCAGCTGCAGTGCCTGGTATAGCAACAGCAGCAGCGGCGGCGGCGGCAGCGTTGGCGGCACCACCAGCAGCAATCACCCATATGGACAATGGCACAGCCTGAGTCCCACCGGGCACCTTGTCACAGCCATCTGCCTTGGCATCATTGGCACCTTCGGCTTCCTGAATAATCTCCTGGTCCTGGTGCTTTTCTGCCGAAATAAAGTGTTGAGGTCTCCCATCAACTTGCTGCTGATGAATATTTCAGTGAGTGACCTGATGGTGTGTATCGTGGGCACCCCTTTCAGCTTTGCTGCCAGCACTCAGGGAAGGTGGCTCATCGGGGCAGCAGGCTGCGTGTGGTACGGCTTTGTCAACACCTTCTTTGGTAAGTGCTACTCTGCGGATTTGGGTTTACCCAGCAGCACTCCTCCTCGACTTCTGCAGAACTTGCCCCCTCCCTTGGGCCTGCCTCCCCTGCAAATGTCATGCAATGCTCTGTGTGCTTTCTCTGGAAAGCTTTTCTCTCTTGACGTTGTCCTGCCTTGGGACTAGAGCATGGAGAAAAGGGATCCAGACCTGCAACATTCTCTGTTGTGATGGCAGAGTATGGAGGGAAGTGGTGATTGTTAAGTGAGGATGGAGATAAGTAAGGGACATGCAACTACGTGTTTATAGGGCTTCAGGGTTAAGTGATGCTGCTCTTCTCTCTGTGTCTGTCTCTAAGTGGGCAAGAGAGAAAGAAAATGCACAAGACATATAAAAGTACCAGAAATCTTGCAAACTATATGTGTGGAGGGATGTAAGTGAGGGTTGCAGAATAATTAGTTTACAGGGCTGTAGAGTTAAGTGATGCTAACTTCTCTTTTGCTGAAAGAAGGAACAGTGGGTGAAATTATAGGTGTACAGAAATACTATAGACTCTGCATGAAAAAGACTTGCATGATTTAAGTGTCTGTGGAACAAAGTCGGAAGTGTTGTACGCTCATAACAAATAAACTTGGAATTCAATAACAGAATGAAGGTTTCTGAGACTTGTGCATATGTGAGTAAATAAAAATGCACTGAACAGCTGGGGCTACAAAGGGAGCAGTAAAGATTTATGGGACTGCATGTTCAAGTGTCTGCTCACTTCTGTTTATGTGAGGGAATACTGGGACTTAGTGACTGGCTGCAGTATGGCAAGTACATGATGGAGTCTTTGCAGAAATGAAAATCTGTTTCTTTTCGTGGGAAGTTGTAGTATGCTATTTAGATTTCAGAATTTATTTTTTTAGAAAGTGAGCAGCTAGCTTGGTAAAATGTTTATGAATAGGACATCAAGGCTGCAACCATGAACTGAGAATAAGGTCCACTGTACCACTGGGATTTATTCCTAGTCAACACATTCGGTAGCAGTTTTGCTTTTGCAGTAAAGTTTTGGCCAGAGGAAGGCAATCCGGGGCCCTCCAGAAGTTTCAGTATTAATAATTATTAATGATTTTTATTTCATTTCTATACTGCCCCACAACCAAATTTTTCTGGGTGGTTTATAATGGGATTACAGTTCCCATAAGTGCAAAGCAGCATGGCCAATGGATGGAGATTGTGGGAAAGATAGTTGGAAAAATCTGGAGGGTACCAGTTACCTACCCATGGCTTAAAACTTGGAAAAAGTTAAAAACTCTACAGTGTGAGTAGCAATCTACACCTCAGAACTATAGACTAATGTGTGTGTTGGGGGAGGTGATAACTAATAATGATGTTCTATATCGGGGTGAAAAACTCTAATGAAGAAAAGACTGAAGGTCAGTTTGACTGTGTCCATGAACTCAGTATAGCATATATAATCAAACACAGGGTTCTTATGTGAAATGCTGGGCAAATGTACAGTGTACAGTAATGTGAATAATAATGAAAAATATGAGTGAAATTTATGGGCAATACACAAAGAATGGTAAGTATGGAAAGGGTCAGGTGGAAAGCATGTGTTTTGCATGCTGATGTTCCAAAGTTTAATCCAGGCAGGGCTGGAAAAATTCCTACTGGAAACCTTGGAGTGCTGCTATCCATTGCTGCAGACAATAGCAGGTAATGGTCTTGCCCAGTGACCTGGTTGGCATGTAATACAGAGTCAGTGTAGTGTAGTGGTTGAGAGTGCTGGACTAAGACTCAGGCGATCTGGGTTCTCGTCCCCATTCAGCTACGGAGCTAACTGGGTGACTGGGCCAGACACAAAATCTCAGCTCAACCTACCCAACGGGGTTGTAGTTATGAGGATAAGAGGAGACGAGGAAGAGAATTGTGTAAGCTGCCTTGAGTTCCTTGAAAAGAAAAAAGGCAGGGTGACAAACAAACAAATAAGTATGCATTGTATGGAAGCCACTGCCAGAGATAGGACTTTAGCTGCAATGGAATATAGCCAGTCTGGTGCAACCTGGTGTTATTCAGTTAATTTGTATTACAGTTTCCACAATCCCTAATGATTGGCCATGTTGGATGGGGCTGATAGGATTTGTCATTCAAAACACCTTGAGGGTACCCAGGTTGCCTCCCCCAATCTCTGTATGCAGTCTCATTTATTTTGACAAATATGTCAAGCTCTTACTGATGCATGTTTATAAACTAACAACAATAAATTTACTGTTTGAACAGACTTCTTCCTGTCTATGACATGTTTTAGTAGAGAAAGAGCTCGGTCTAGAAATTTCACCATTTCTTGGCTGCATTTTCAACCTGGCCATATATTTATTTTACAAGTTACCTTCTAAACAACCAGAAAGGGATGGGAAATTCTGTCAAGTTTGATCTTGCTCATGTTCTTCATTTTCCAGTTTCTTCTCCTTCACACAGTAATCTCTACATATTTTTGTGTGCAGATTCCAATGGTACCAATATGCACCCATTGCCTAAAGCATTGTGGTTATCACTGGAGAGATGTACACATATTCACTGCACGTCGGATACTCAAAAACTAAAAAGTTCTGCTTTAAACTCAAAGAACCGTAAGAAGGGGAACAGGGCCTTGTAGTTACCCATCTTGTTAGCATCTTAACAGCAGACTGGGTAGGCACACAGCTCACCTTGGATGTGGTAGGATGTACTGCATTTCCACAGTACAAGTACAGCAATTATTTCTCAGACTGCATCTATGCATATAAATAGGAAAAGTTTATACAGTCTGGGTTTTCTTTAGTCCTCTTCTCTGGGTCCTGCAGTTCCTTATTTGTGGAGGTCTATAAATGGCCACCTCCTGAAAGGTTTTTGAAATGTCCCTGAAATGTCCCTGTTCTGACTTGTGAAAATGTGCAGATTATCAAACATAGTTCTCTTTTGTGCAGAAACGGTGTTGCAAGGGCATAAATGTGTAAAGTTCAACAAGAGATGGCATTCGAAGCAGCAGCCCAGTTTGGTAGCAAGCTGGGTAAATTCTAGTCTTAAACATATAAAACCAGTTTCTTGTACATTCCTGATGACTTCTGAGTGTGCCTGTCTCAGCTGTCAGGAAACCGAAAAATCTGTTCTAGATGAATGAGGCAGGGATGGGAAAGGTGAATGTTGCATTCTTAACTCACCCAGTATTGCAAAATGGTTCACATTTTGGTTTTGTTAATTCTGCATAGACAGAATTTTATTTGTCAGGATCTTTCTCTGAATAGTTCATACCTGTATCCAGCCTATCCCAAAAGTTAAAAATAGTCAGAATTGTTTCTCTAGCAACATGCTTTATTTATATTCCCTGTATTTCTGGGAGCATATTAACAATATTTTACCAAATCGGCAGTCAGAATGGGTGATATAATTGTACTCTTCCATGCTTCCGGATGGCCTATCCAGACTGGCTTTTCCCAGTGTGTTCTCCTGTTCCCCTAGATGTCCCTGTTCAAATAGCGTTAGCTTTTAAAGACTCTTTTACAGTCAATTTTCCTGAAATTGGCAGTTATGCCATGGTAGTTTATGCCATGTTTTTGCATCAGGCAGGAAATTTCTTCTTGCTCACCTCCCATTAGCTTCTTTGTCAAGTGTCAAAGAAGGTGACATTTCACTTCAAACCCAACAATGAAGCTAATGAGAGGCAAACCAGAGATCGGGTAGCTATTTTTTTTAAATCAATTTAAAAATGTTGATGTCCAGCAACTGTGTGGTTTTTTTTGGGCTACCTCATCTCATGCCTGCTGAGCATGTTCAGTCCTCACAGGCCTGTTTGTGGTCATTCTCTGATTGTTTTTTCTAAGGGCTTTTTGTACACCTGGAAACCTTGGGTTACCTTATGCTAGTTGGAACCTCCCTCTTATATAGCTGGTATTATTTTGGCTACATAAAGTTCAGCACTCAAAAATTTAGATCACTATTTGTATACATGATGTCCTGCTTTCAGATTTAAAAAAAGTACAATAGAGATCTTAATGAAGAAAACAAACCCCAGTAAAATGCGTATTTCTACTCACTGATAGTAAAAGTTCTTAATATACTGTATCCATCTACTAAAACACATTGCATTGGATATAGATTTAGACATGGGCTACTGGGCTGGTGGGAATGGGCTTCCCCGTGAAAGTTCTCCAACCCTGTCAAAACTATGCACAGAAGATTAAGGGCCACTGTTGAATGGGCTGTCTATGCAGAAGTTAGCCTTTTTATAGATTCTACTGAAGAAGCCAATTTATTCCTAATTGCAGGTGCCTGAACTGATATCCAGATATAGTTGTTTGATTAGTTATTTCAGTTAAAAGCAGACTTTTTTGAAACTTGGGAAATGTCAGAAAAAACACTGTTCATCCCTCACTCCAGGAGCAAACAAGGTGATGCATCTTCTAATAAGGAAGTGTAAACAGAGCCCCATGTACACAGAAAGAACAACAACAGAAGTTCTGAGGGGAGGACAAATCACTCAGTCTCAGCTTCACAACATGTGTGTTCCTTCAAGCATCAGGTGTCCAGAGACCCAAGCATCCGTTGCACAGCTTACAAGTCACATTGTATGACACGGCGGCGGCAAAAAGGCTCTGCCAAAAACCCTTCCCCAGCATCATGCACAGGTCCACCGTGCACGTGGATGAGCTACAAGTACCTTGAAAGGTCCATGCAGCAAATGGCAGCATCTTATAAAGAGCAGGAGGTGGCTAAATACAGGGGGCAACATACTTGCAGCGATTCAGTGTCTGGTGCAGCAACAGCCTCTTCTCTACTGCTAATCTGGTTTTGGCAGTTCCAGTTCAAATGGCTTTTTCTCTGTAATATTATTCTTGTTTGCTTAATCTCAACAAGGCAATGTAGCATATGGTGGGGAAATTTGTCATTAATTGAATTTATAGTCCCTAGACATTCAATTGATCTTATAGAGACATGCTATGTAGTTTCAGAGAAGGGCCTCTTGAGTATGCCATGATTTTTCGATTTCTATCTCTGTTGTTGTTACATGGCCCTCTCCTTCTTCATTTTCATCATCACAACAACCCTGTTTTAGGTTAGGGTCAAGGTCATTCAGTGAACTTCATGGTATAATGGGCACTAGCACACAGATCTCCCAAGCCCCAATCCAGCATTCAACTGTTACATCACACTGCTTTCCAGCTTCTATGGCAGTGCTTGAAACAGGCACACAGAGTGGAAGCTGAGAATGGCATGTTTCTAGTGCCATTTGCATAAACCTAAGCTCACTCATTATATGTTTACATAAGCATATCTGATTACATGCAGGGTTTCTCACACACACACAAACACACACACACATATGCGCTAATATCAAGGTCCAGTGCAACATATTTGTAAGGTGTAGCATTCCTTTAAAGTACTTCAAGAAATAAATGGCCACCTTGAATTTTCTCACACTGCAGCATTAATTCCTATGCATTCATTAGAATGATTATAGATAACTGTGCATATGTTGTAATGAGCATGTGGAGGCCAGACCAGATCTTGCCACCCCAACGCATCTCCCATGCTATATATATTCATAGTACATCTTAGTTTAAATTAAGGATATACACTGGAGTCAAATGAAAACTAAGCAGAATCAGACTCCATCAGACCATTTCTGCTGTGTCTTTCTTCTTATTTCAATGTCCATGTAGAAGTTTATTTTTTAATCTAGCTAGTCTTAATCAGTTTGTATAAAATTCATATTAGTCTGTGACCTCAGTAAACAATCCATACATTTCTCTTGCTTTCCAAGCTGGAGAAAGCTTCCCTTCAAAGTCACCATAACTAAAGCCAGGCTAGAATTGGGATATATTGTACTCTAAGAAACAGATAGATACAGATATAGATACTCTAAGAAACAGACAGAAACAGATAAGAAACAGCTCCCTCTCCAAATAGCATCTTCTGGTTTTGTGTCTCCAAAACACTGAAAAACATGTAGGGAGGTGAGAGGACAGAGTGTTGAGTGTCTGAGAGGTCCACCTTCTAGTCATAAGGCATGTTTGCTTTTGGGGAGTTGGTCATTCTTCCAACACTGCTAGGCTCACTGATTTTCAATCATCATAGTACCCTAGACCTTGCACCTATATTTCTGGAATTTGTCAGTTTGTTGACCAACAAGAAGATGATGATGAGGAGGAAACATGGGTAGGTTACAATGGAAGATGATACGGTCTAAGCCAGGCCTGATATCAAGAGTTCAAGTGGTTGGTCACTCTCAAGGGCAGAGATCCTTTGATAAGAGCTGTCTGGAGTTGTTCCTCCTCTGTTTCATTGCAACCTGTTTGTTCACCTGCCTCTTCACACATGCCAGTGGTAGAAATGATGAGAAAGATGAGGTCAACAGGAGCTGGTTACAATGGCATTGAAAAGGTTGCCTTATTTAGAAAGCGGCTCTAGAAGGGGCCCTCAAAAACCTGGAGCTGGCACTGTCTGGAATGACCAGTTCCTATATTGCCTATAAAATTCCTTGTCTGAAGCTGAGTAATTGCAGGATAGAAGTCATGTCTGAAAGGACCCTCGACCTATTGGCAGCAACTAAAGACACCAAAGAATTTCTCTGGTAGTCCTGTTACATTCAACAGACTGGGTCTTTGTGGTTGTTCGTGTGTCATTCAATTGATAGCAGCATTACAAGAAAGACACAGAATTTCAGATGGTCACTCTTGCTAGCTTCCTCTGCATGGTACATTCTGTGCTAACAGCAGGGAGTAGGAGTTTTGATGACTGTAACACCCACAGAAGTTACTTAAACGGATGTTTTTAAAATGCCCTTTTCAAATTGCTGCTGTTTCTGACAACAATGCAATACGTTGGTATAAAGCAAAAGGCTGTAATTATTCTGTGTGGGACTGAAGAGAATTCAAAAAGAGAACCACATTCTTATCTAGAGAACTCATTTTTATATAACTTTCTTTCTCCTTTGTTGTTGTCTTGCATTCTGAAACATGGAGGATAAGGAAGTTTCCTAGATAACCTATTTTGTGTGTCTAGGGCAATGTATAAAATAAAATGTATTGACTCCATCTCTGACTTACTTTACTGATATTCTATCAGTTGCATTGCCATGCTGACCATTTAAAAACTGTTGATGAGCAGTTATTTCATTTCTGTACCACCCAATAGATGAAACTCTCTGGGCAGTTTTACAACAGTATATTATGTACAATAAAATACAATAAAATGGCATAAAACTTATCAAAAGGAACACAAAAAGTAATAACAGCTAAAACATACAGTGAAGAAGAAAACACCTGGAACAGGTAATCCTCTCAAGCACCTAGATAAGCAAATATATCTTTAAAAGCCTTGGCTTAAAGAGCCAGCTTAACCTGGCAGTAGGGAGGTCACTTGAAAAGATGACAAGGTTGGTGCCTGGCAGATCACAAAGGGGAGGTCATTCCATGGGTCTCATGACTCAAATCACTCTTTTAACAAAGCTTATTTTCTACCACTTCTAAGTACTATTTAATATAAACTGCACCAGTCTGTTTAACCAATAGTTCTATAAAAAAATAATTTTCTTTATAGGTACAGTGTCACTTATCTCCTTGGCTGTGCTTTCATATGAACGATACTTCACTATGATGGGAACAACAGAAGCAGATGCTACAAACTACAAGAAAATATGGATGGGAATCCTATTGTCCTGGATGTATTCTTTAATCTGGAGTTTACCACCACTTTTTGGCTGGAGTAGCTATGGACCAGAAGGACCAGGCACAACCTGCTCAGTTAACTGGCATTCAAGGGATGCTAACAACGTATCTTACATTGTTTGCCTTTTCATCTTTTGCCTTGTCATTCCCTTTTTCATTATTGTTTACTGCTATGGGAAGCTGCTGTGTGCCATAAAGCAGGTGAGTCCATTTTTCAATGTTCTTCCAACAGGATATCAGTAGTGTCATCTCTTTATGTAAGTCTCTTTCATCTGATGGAGGCATCTCTGAATGGAAAGGTTGAGAGGCCATTTTCACAGTTTCAGTCTTTCTTCTGTAGATCCCTGCATAATCTGCTCCACAATGTGGGAGATACTTTGGAACAAGTGCTGGAGGAGGAAGCTCATATAAATGGGAGGCTCCAGTAGAAAGAGCATTGCCTCCTTCCCCTTTCCTTTCATGGAAGTCCCCACTGGAGCAAAGAGTCTTCTATGAAGACCCCTGTAACTTTGGCTTGGCCAACAGGATGCCAATGTAGCTGTGGTGGATGTATAACATTACAAGGCAGAATTTTTCAGAGGTGCTGAGGTAACCAGCTTGGTGCAGAGAACGGAATCCATTATTAGTATGTAGAATAGTGATTGAAGAAAAATTAACCCACATGAGAAGCTCTGGAAGTACCTGGGATTAACATTTCATTCTCCCTCCACCAAATTGCCAGAGCAGCTGCATCTATCTTTAGAGTCTGAAAACCAGGGATGTGACATTAGAAGGCCACTTTTGGCACAGTTCTACTAATGAAAGTCTTGAAAAGTGAACTTTTTTCCCCTGAAGTAATATTTCTAGGACCGAAGTAAGATTTCTAGGATTGCTGCTAGGATCCAGAAAGATACACATCAAGATATATTTTCAGTATTGATGGAAGTCCAGGGGAGTTAGGAACAGAAAAAGGAAAGCAGTATCTGTTGAGGTGTAGAATAATGATTTCTTTTCGGGAAACTCTCATAAAGCATGGGAAGATAAAAAGAGAATCCATTTGGGGGCTGTAATATAGGCTGTATTTATTTAACATTCCCTTGGCAATCTTGTCTATTCTGTTTATCTTCACTTTAGTTTCTTTTATTCATACTAATTTTTTCTATTTTATATTTTTTCTATGTATATGCTAAGAAAATAAAAATTGATTTAAAAAAGATATATTTTCAGTGAGAACCATGGTTACTGACAACTAACCCTATGGGAGATTGACACATCATGATAAACAAGGGTAGAGGGTTACCATGTTGGTTGCAACAGACTAAAATGAATTCAGATTTTGGGAGCCAGAATGGCATAATAGTTAGAGTAATGGGCTGGGACCTGGGAAACCCTGGTTCTAGTCCTCACTCAGACATGAAAATCGGTGGGTGACTTTGGTCAGTCACTCACTGTCAGCCTAACCTACGTCATGATGTTGCAAGGATAAAATGGACAGGAGGATTATCTAAACAGCCTGTGTTAAACTGCAGCTCTTTGGAATGAAACAGGCGGCACCAAGACTGGGCGACTAGAAGCAGGGCCTTATTAAATAGAAATCAGTATTTAATGAGTATAGAAAGTTCTAGAACAATTTGTAGATGGAGAAGACTTAAAAAATGGGGGCAGCAGGAGGTCCTGGGATTGGATCAGAATATTGTTTTGTTTTGGTGGAGCTCATCAATAATCTTGACTTAATTCCAAACTGCCTCCCTGCCCTTTAACTCTTCAGTTTCTCTATCCACAGGATGGTATAGGGAGTGTACATGGCAGGGCTTTTCCTCGGATCTTCTTGGCCCCTAAAGTCCTTCCTTTTGCAGGGAAGACAAAGTCCAAGCACAAGACAATTCCAATTGTTTCATTCAGAGCTTCTTGTGAGCAAGACTTCATTTCCTAAGGCCCTTGTATTTACATTCTGCACCCCTATACAGACTTATGAGAATTCTTAAGCATCCCAACAGATTACAGGCATCTCAATGCAAGGAACTTTCTTTTGGTTCCTGTGGATTTTAAGGCTAGCAGCCTTTTGTCTGATTCCCTCAGTGTTAAAAGTTACACTGAAAAGCAGTGGGACAGTTCCTCACTATACTCGTAATTCTCTTGCACCCCCTTCTCCACAGATAAATGTCAGATAAATGTAGGGGCAAACTGTGGGGTAGAAAAATATAGATCATTATTTCAGCCAGTGAGATGGGGCTCTGGCAGAAATTATCCAGTTGCTCCTATAGAGCAATTGAAAGACAAGAAGAGATTTTGCAGGCTCTCACCAGGAACAGTGAAAAAGTGTGGAGTGTTTGAGAGTGTTACCAAAAGAGAGGAATTACATCATCCTAAAAGGACAAATGAGAAAGCAGATATTAATAAAAATCCCATACTCTAATGTATGCCTGAACATTTAGCAAGAACTACTATAATTTAAAAATAAAGGCAATATTTTTTTGAGAATTAACAATATGGAGAATATGGAGTCACCTGTGAGCTTGTTCTGTGTGCTGTTCAGGTCCTACTTGAGAAATCCTCTGCTTTTCCTTCCTATCTCACTGGATCTTTAGGCTGGCCCTGGAATTTTTAGCAGCCCTTCAAAATAGAGGATATCTTCAATCAGAGGATGCTTCTTTGCTATGTAGGCCACCCAATTGCCAACATCTGAATCATGCACTGAGGAGGAAGCCAGTGAGCAACTCCACATTTGTATGAAATTGAGATGCCCCCTGCCTCCACCATCACTTCCCAAATGCTAAATATGAGTTTTCTTTCTTCATGTGGTCATAAAAATCCACACTTGTATCTGTTTTGTAAGCTGCCCCAAGGCTTTTTGCAAATGGGGCGGCATAGAAATGTTTTAAATACATACATACATACATACATACATACATACATACATATCTAGGGAAGAAATCTGGTACAATATTATATTGGAAGAGTGATAATACACTACTAAAAATCCTCCATGAAAAGTTACTACTGACATGATGGGGTTACACACTGGTACTCTAAGAGAATTCAATTTGTTGCTGTTTGTTTTGTTTTGTTTTGTTTTGATTTAATTTAATTTAATGAGTGATATTTTGATGAGACACATTCTAGAATGTTCTTTCTCTTCACTGTAAATGTCAGTGTTCATTATCATTTTTTTTCAAATGCTATTTTTGAAGTATGCAATTTGTCTCCAGCATGATGATAGACTGTCACATTTTTGTAAAAGTAAATAGGAATAATATAGAAATTATAATAAATGGGAAACTTTCTATCCCAAAATGTTTATGAATTTACAAATTAAGCCATGGCCTCTCAAATTTCAGAAGAGAAAAATTCAGTACAAGCAGAAATAAATACCAATATTAATCACTTTTAGCTTATTTTATTTTATTTCATTTTATTTCATTTAAGATCTCCTATTATTTGCCTCTCAACATTGACTACAGGACATATGACTGGTTTCCCTTGTCCTCTTCTACCTAGACACTTCATTGCAAAGGAATCCTGGATCTTACTAAGAGTACATGCAATTTCTTTTGCTTTGTATTCATGGGCTGCTGCTAAATATGCAGAGAGAAATCAATAAAATATTGTTGTAGAAATAATCGTATTGCGAAATAATTTTAATTGCCTCTTCTCATAGAAACTTTTCATAATTTTCCCACTGGATTTAATAGTCTTACTGGAAGCAAGGTCTGAAAAGCCATGCACATTACTTTAGATGTAAACCATACACCTAATATTTCTTTTCCTCTGTAAAATTGAGCCTCCTACTATTCTGGTGCTATAAAAATTACTTTAGACTAATAACAGTCTTGTTTTAGTAAAGGATTATAAACATGCATCTGTTGCCCTGATTATGACTGGCTGGGAGCTCCCAGACTATAAAGTTATTTTTAAAATAAGAAAAGATGTTTCAGCAAACAGCATTAGCCCTGAACATTCCCATTTGAGTGCTGATGCCAGGCCAGTCTGCCATCACCTGCAACTCTCAGAGTGGTCTGGGGCCTTTAGCTTTTGTCTCAGGGTCTAGTCACAGTTACACCCTTGTATTTCCAAGAGGAACTCTGTGGCAGTTTACTAGAGACAAACCTCAGAGAGCGATTCTTTCCAACCTCTCTCACACTCTCCCAGTAGAACAGAACTGCCTGTTATACAAATCTGTTCTGTGCATTTCCAACATTCTGCAAATGGGAATTTTGTGGATGCACAGATGAGCCCTAGATTAATTGCCATCTGCTTAATTGCTTCATTTGGCTATTTATCACATCTGTTGGCTGCTGGGAGGGAACACTTGATTTAGAGTTGGTGGTGAGGATTCTATTGCTGAAGAACAGTACAAAATTCTCTATTCCTTCCAGATGTTTCCAGTGATCATTGTACCTGATACTTTTCCCAAACCACAGGTGAAGAAATCACCTGTATGTGAATAGCTGTTCTCATTAATGTTATTAGAGCAGTTTTGTTATCTGCTCCATGGTGTAATAAGCCCTTGTCCTTCGTGTCTTTCAGGGATCTAAAGTATGATGGACTGCCCTCATGTTGAGCTGCTGCTTCTTTTTTGTACAACAGATTTGAGAGTGGAAGCAATTTTAGGAAACATGCTTTTATCTCATGTTGAGTCAAGCTGGGCATAAGCACACAAATAAAAAAGGGTACGAGTTGAGGGGAAAGTGCTCATTTTTCCCCAGTGGAAATTAATCTGGCTATATCAGACAGAAAGTACTTTCAACAAAACACAATGTTCTTAGGATTCACAGGCTCTGTTTCCAGAAATGGAGCTATATGGGCAAAGTGTAACAATTATGCTCATGAAATGCAATGTGAATGTATTTTTATTCTTGGATTGGTAGCCTGGGAATAATTGCCTCATATGAGCATATTGTTTTATATTTGTGCACATTAAAATAGAGCTATTGGTTGGTTGGTTGGTTGGTTGGTTGTGTAATGAGTGAAATTCCCTATTGTATGTTTATCATTAAAGACGTTTCTTTGCTATGGATCATGCATTCTCCCATAACATATGGCCACAGAAGGATGCTCATATGTTTCTCCTTGCCTGGATAGTAAGGCACACATTTCATGGTGCAACTAGCTAATTGCAGATGCTGGACCTAATGGTCACATGGAGCTCAGGTTGACAGTGCAGTCCTCTGGCTGCTGGGCAGGGTCTAGATGGCTATGGAATTTTCGGGGAGTCAGCGACC